TTTGTTTGTAGCCGTTTGATCTGGTAACTCATTACTTGGGCAAAACAGCTTTCAGCTGGTTGGAGACAAGAAATATATTTCGTGAAGCTATTAGCTTTTGCCATTGTCTTTTTAAGGGTATGTAGGATTTTTGGGTTTTTGTTTTTTTTTTAATCCAGGAACCATTGTGGTTGCTTTTCTGCTTTGTTCCAGCAGTTTCAATTTAATTAGGGCAGTTTAATTTGACAGGGAAGTTTAATAACTCACTGCAGCTATAGAGTAACTTGACTCCACTGATCAGATTACACGCTGTATTTACTCAAATAATCCAAAGTAAATATGCAATTCTTTGATTGTTACATAACAATTTCACATCTGTGACTTTGCTGCACTCAAGACTTGTTTGCTTTTCAAAGCTGTAGGGAGGAAGGGTGAATATGAGGTTTTGAGAGTAGCCATAGACAGTCCCAGTGGGTTAGTTCAGTTATGTCAGAGTTCGAGTTTTCATGGGACTATTATAGGCATGAAAAGCACCACAGATTCATAGCTTGATTGGCATTTCCCATTAGAAAAGATTCAGTTGCAAAACGTTGGTCATTTGTAATTTCCCTTGCTGGATAGCTGTCTGCGTGGAAAATTTCAGACAAAACTTTGGAGCTATTTCAGAGAACAAGGCTGAGGGAAAGCACGTATTTTGCCCACATTAATAATAGTTCTAGAAACCATTTATTTCAAATATTTTACATAACCTGTCTTGTGGAGCAGGGGCTTGAGACTGGGAGTTGAGAAGACCTTGGGTGCTGAGGATGTGGGTTGTGCGCTATCTTCACGGGATGGTATTCCTCGTCCTCACGTGGACTGCAGTGAGCCAAAAGACTTGCCCTGCAACCCCAGCCCTGAGCTCCCAGGTGCTCCAAGGGCAGACCCAGGTGCAGAGCAAAGACTTTCTCTTGCCTGTGCTTTCAGGGATGGCTCACACTGCACCATCTCCCAGTCCCGGCTTTTGAGGAGAAGGGACAGACCCACTTGTCCCAGGGAGGGAGGTCAGGGTCTGTCCGGCCAAAGAAGCTGGGACCAAGGGGGGGGGGGGGGTTGGGGAGGAAAGATCTGAAGGGATGGAGCCAGAAGAGAGACCGAAACTGAAGGGAGAAGCAAACCATGTGAATCTTGCCACTGTCTTGCCAACTGTTGGTGGCACCCTCTGGCAAATAGAGGATCTCTTCCTGCACACTGCCATCCCAGGTGGAAGATAAGAACCTCCGCTCAGTCTCGGTGCCAGAAATGATAGTAATTTTTGAGTGGAGTGCAGTGCATTTAATGTGGGGAAGACAAGCCCCACATTTGCTATTTTAGTGTTTTCAACTGGCTTGGAGTCATTAGCCAGCAACACTAAAGTCTTTCCCTCCTCAGATGGCTGCTGCAGGAGCAGCTGTACAAACCAGACTACGTGCACTTGCTTAGGTCTCCCTTTAGTGGTGATCTGTAGTAACTATAACCACCTGGGATTGCTCCTGCCTGCAGGGATGACTTTGTCAGCAGAAGTAATGGGCTCTCACTGGTGGCCATGGGTTTGGTCTGATGCACACTTCCACAATTAGCTAGCTTGCTTTTTAGAAGTGTCCTACCTACTCTTCTTCAGACCAGCAATCAGCAGGTGAGAGGCAGGAGCTGACAAGACATGAGGCTCTGGCCAAGAAGAGTAGATGACCCGTAGGCTTTGGATCAGGAAAAGGTTGTCCTTCACTAGGCAGAGGAAATTGTCGGGGTGGGAGTATGGTTGTACATGGGAAGAGACATGGAGGAGCTCAGAGCTGTGAAGGGAGCAGGGCTGCTAGTGTGAAGGGAGAAGATGAACTAAAAGCAGAATTTTTCTTGCTTCCTGTCCCTCCATAAAAAAGCCTCAGGAGAAAAATGTTTACAGTGACAGAGCCAAGTTCAAAGATTTATGGGCAAGACTTTGTACTACAGTTATGAACGATTCAGTAGCTAGTCACTACAGAATTGCTGTGACCCAAATTCTGAAAAGCCTCACAACTTGCTTATGTTTTATGGTGATATTTAGGACAGCATTTTCCCTCCCCCCTTACTGTGCCCATTCTTTGCTTTTTCACAGGACGGAGGCACTGCTCTTTTAGCAGCTTCTCAGTACGGGCATGCAAAAGTAGTGGAAACTCTGTTGAAGCACGGTGCCAACATTCACGATCAACTTCACGTGAGTTTATCTGACATAGATATTGACAACACCGGTGATGGAACAAATGTGCTGTTCGTTGGAAAACAGCAGATATTCTAGTTCCAGTACAGTAAAGCACTTGCCAAAAACTCGTTTTTGTAGTACTCTACTTTTGTAAGACGTGATTTTTGTTAACTGTCTGCTCTTCGTGAACCTGGGAAAAGTGGCACAAAATCAGTAAAGAGGATTTAGCTGCCTTTTGGTTCATTATCTGTATGAAGGAAATGTTCCAAATCTGGACCAGATGTATGCTATCCCTCATCCTTGCCCAGAGGGTCATATCCTATTTTACTATGTCAGAATAGCATTGCAGGCAGAAGAGTTAATAGCTATGAAGCCACTGAGGTATTAGAGAATCAGTTAGTTTTCTGGATTAGCTGCCAAAAAGAGTAGAAAAGTTATGCTGTCTTTAAAATCTTTTTAAAAGTATCCCATTAAAATGATGTTGCTGGGAATTTGTACATCTCTAGCTTGTCAATGCTTTGGGGAACAAACAGTTAAAATGACTGGATCGACATTGTTTAGTTGACTTCAGAAAGCTGGACTGAGCTGATCAAGCACTGGATTTAATTTCCTTCAGCAGAGACGCAAATAGGTTGAGCTGAAATAAAACCAAAAAGCGTGGCAGATTTTGTCTCCACTCTCCACCACTCTTTTCCCACCCCAGGGCACTTCAGACCAGACTGACCGAGAGGGATTTGTTCCCCGCGGGCACCTCAGGGTTTTCAGCCGTTTCCACGAGGGGCGAATGCGCAGGATGTTGTGGGGCAGTGCCGAGCGCTCCCAGCTCCTGCGAGGGCCTGGGGGAGCCAAGGGCTGGCGGCTCTGCAGAAGTCACCAGCGCGCGAGGGGCTGTGCACAGGGTGCACAGGGAGTCTCCGGCTCCGAGCTGCACCCACCCTGCGGTTATCAAGAAGGGTGTTGCACGTTTGCAGCTGCTGCGCAAATAGTGATTATCTTTCTAATCTCTGGGCAGGGATTCATAATGCTCGTCATTCTCTGTATGGTAATCCTAGGCTTTTCCACTTTTTTTAAAAATAGCAATGCTGCCACACCTGGAGACACCCATTCAGAAGTAAAGGCAATGAAGTATTTTCCTTGTGGTGTCTCCTGGAAATAAGCAATATTTGCAGTGGGATTTAGTGATGTGTTTTTATTGCTCATAGCCATTAAGCAAAACCATTCAGAAACAGCCGCTTCATAAAATAAGAATGCATTCTCTTGAAAACGAGCATTAGCCTGACTCCTTTTGTGGGACGTTGCCAAGTTGAATTTGCAAAGTGGTATCTGGCTGGCAGTTTCCTTGGCAGGCTGCCATATGAGAGGGATTTCGAACACACACTTGGGCAGTCCTCCCCAAACCGTCAAGATAGATGTTTTAATCTTAAATTGACTAATGTGAGGGGTTGAGAAGAGAATACCCTAGCTAAAGGCTATTTCTTGTAGAAATGTTTCATAGCCTTAAAACAGTTTTCTTGTGACAGCATCAATCCAAATCAAGTACAAAAAACTAATAATTAATTTAAAAAATGGCTAGACGATTGGTAAAGCAAGGTTTTCCGTATCGATTGATGCTCTGAAAAAGAGTTCTCTTAATATTGCAGAACCTTTTTCCCTTTCTAAATGGAAGTGTTCCTGCTATGCCTATCTCTGGAGGAAATCTGCAAAAGACCAGATGCCATCACCTGATTTTAGGCACCTGCATAGCAGTCAGAGAAAATAACCCCTCAGAGAGCCTGGAGATATTAATTTGTAGTACCAGCAGACACCTCTCTTGTTTACCAGGACATTTATCTTGGAATCAAGGTCAAACATGTTAAGTTTGGAGGCTGGGCATTGAATTCAGCTCATGCTTCACCAGGCATGTGTTTTGCAGGAAGAAGTGTGTCTAAGTAGTATCTCTAGGCAGACAGCACCATTCAGTCCCAATGTAGGGATGTGCCAACAGTGTCAACAAGGGGCTTCCACTAAAATGCCCCGTATATAAGCATGAGCATGAGGTGCCTGCAAGATAGGTATCTGCACATCTGAGGGACAGCAGAGGGTTGATGTTTGTTCATGCCTCTAAACTAAAAGAGTCTCAGCTCCCAGGAGAACTTTCCCTGCTCTGAGCACTCTGGGTGTGGGATGGGTAAATGCCTGTCCTAGCCTCAATACAGCTTTCCACCTCTCATTCGTTAGATGAATTCTAATGCTGTTTGGATTTTTGTTGTCAAAAAAACCTCAATGCATATGACTTCATATTTTTTTTCCAGGGAAAAAGCTTCTATGAAGCCAAATATTAAGGATTTTCTAAGATGGAAAACATCTGCTCATGGAAGACACGTTGAGGAAAAAAAAATCCCAGATTTGTTGATTTCTTTCACAAGCTTTTTGTAGGG